AGCAACAGGAGGGACTGCACAGCAGGAAAAGACAAGCCATTCTAAACAGGAAAACAAACAGGCAGCTATGGAGAGCTGCGGTGCTCCAGCCCCTCAGAGTCTCACTGGGTCTGCGTCTCGGAACCTTCACCAGGGAACTGAAGACTTATCAGAAGGCAAGAACTGACTTTAAAAATGGTTACATTTTTTAAGAGAGCAATTTGGCAATATCTATTGAATTATTTTTTTAATGCATACTCTTTTTGAGCTACTTTACGCTATTAAGATGGTATCCTACAGGTACAGTCTTACCATTACTTACATACTAGCAAGTGTACTCCAGAATATTATGTAGAAAAATTCTCACTCAACATTTTATATAAAAGAAAAAACAGGTAGCATTAATGCCCATTAACCAAGAACTGGGGTTAAATAAATTCTAGTTCATCCATATGATACAACAGATAAAAAGAATAATATATAGCCATACAAAGAGTCTGGAAAGAACTCCAAACTTTTAAGTCAAGAAAAAGTCAGTATAGAATGTTTCTATTTGGCTAAGTTAAAAAGCATAATATATGCATATATACATATATATATTAGGGATATATAAAATATGTATATATGATATTTACATATATATTGGGATACCCAAGATAGTCACTCTGCCCCCTTCTGAGAGAGGGCCTAAGAGAAGATTGACTTTACATTTTATACCTTTGTATACTGTTTGAATTTTTGGATCATGTGTATAAGTTGAATTTTATTGAATACATTCTCTAAAGTTTTAAAATAATGTATCTGCTAACATAGAAGGATGTTCAGAATGTGCTGCTAAGATTTTTTTTAAAGCTGGAAAACACGCACACAATGAAAAGGACTGGGAAAGCTGTACAGCAGGGTGCTGCCCATGGTTCTCTCTGGGTAGGATTGTGGTGCTTTTCCTGCTCTTTCTGCTTTTTCTGTAATATTGCGGGTGATTTTGTATTAAATAGCAATAACGATAGCAATAATAATTATAACAGCAAAAAAAAGTTTGTCTTGGAGAAGGAAAAGAAACAGAATTCAGAGGCAAAGCTGGGGGGCATGCACAAGCGAGGACAGAGGCCAGCTAGCCAGAGCCTAGGCAAGGCGGGAAAGCAGGATAGATCTGCCTGCGCACCTGGACACAGAGGAACCAAAATCAGAAGCTCCGGAAATGGTCCTCTCCCCTAAAGTGCACGTGTCCATAGCAACAGCAGTGGTGACAACCCAAAGAGTCCCTCTCTCCTCCAGGACCCGGATCTGAGCACCTCTTACAGCGGGGGACGAAGCTGGCAGGGAGGCTCCAGAGCACGGCCTCGGGTGCTCGGCAGGAGGCTCTCCTCCCTGTCCTGCCCCATCCCCAAACCGTCCTGATGGGCAGGAGCTATTACCCCCATCACAGAGAGGAGAAAACAGGCCTAGGGGTCACTCAGCTCCAGTGTTGGCTGGGCTGACCCCTACTTCTGATCTAGAGGGTTAGCTTAAAACAGCCCCTAATGTGAGGCATGGGGCCAGAGAAGCCAGTGACCATAAGGGCCAACACTGCCCCTTTTAAGTGACCCTAGTGGATGCCCACACCTCCACATTCAGTGGGACGAGGCAGCAGCTCTGTCTCAAGAGGCAGTATGGACAGAGAGAGGCAGATTTCATCTCAGGTCGGGAAGTGCAAGACCAGAGAAACAAAACAGGCCCCCATCGGCGTGTGGATGTAAACCCATGAGGGAGTACGCAAAGACAATCATTCCATACTGCCTTCTCTAAACACTGTACAATTTACCTTCCTGCTGCTCCTTCCAATGTCTTTTCACCATGGTCTTACCACCTCTGCATTTCCATGACTTCCCTGCTGCTGGCTGCAGAGAAAGCTGTGACCAGGAGATGGTCACAGGCTCACGGGAGGCCTGTATGAAGGGCAGAGGCTCTCAGCCTGAAGTCGCCCGCCCGAGCCACGGAAAACAGGAGGGCTCATGCAGTGAGGGGGCCGCCTCCCAATAGGAAAGACAAGACGTCCACGTCTTGCTTCCCCACACTAAGATGACTAAACAGCCCCTGTCTAGCAGACAACTGGTTGTCTGTCTACACTGTCTGGTTGTTGGCATCCGAGTATGTGGCACAGGCTTCCAGGCTCACACTTCCAATGGAAAATGCCAGCTCTACCCACCAACGCTCCTCAATTACTGATCCACAGGGCGGCTCTATGTTCAAATAGGGCCTGGAAGCCACAGTATACAGTACTGGCTCTGGAGTCAACACTGTCTGCGTTTGAATCCTGCCTCTGTCCTTACCAGCTGTGTGACTCCAACAAGTAACTTCACCTGTCTGTGCCTTAGTTTCCTTAGCTGTTGTATGCATTAAATGAGATGACACAGCCCAGCCGAGCGTGGCTCAGCCGTTGAGCATCGACCTAGGATCCAGGTGACAGGGGTTTGATTCCCAGTCAGGGCACATGCCCGGGTTGCAGGCTCGATCCCCAGTCAGGGGCGTGCAGGAGGCAGCCAATCAATGACTCTCTCATCATTGATGTTTCCCTCTCTCTCTCTCTCTCTCTATCCCTCTCTTTCTCTCCTTTCCTCTCTCTGAAATCAATCAAGATATATTTTAAAAAATAAGAATAAATAAAACTTATTTTAAAAAAATGAGATGACACACATAAAATGCTTAGCATAGGGTCTGACCCAAAGTGAGAGCTCAGTAAGTACTAGCTAAAAATAATTCATCAGGATTTCTGCATACACATGTGCCACACACACACACACAATGCTGGCAGATCCCAATCACTGTGAAAGCATCAGGACCAGGGAGCACCACCACAGCGACATCTTCCCCACTCTCCTGCAGGTGAGTCTCACCATCAGACAATGAAAGGGGTGAAGGGAGAAAACACAGACTTTGAAAGTGGGAAAAAACCAGGCCAGAAGAACCCGGGAGGCTTTGATAAAGGGGGGGCTCAGTACAGAACCCGAACCTCAGATGATCCTGTCAGCCAGCTACAATAGGATGGGGGGGGTGCTACGTGTGCACGCACATATGCACACACGCACACACATGTAGAAGGAGAGGGCTGGGGCGGGACACAGGAAGGGAGTCAGAGAATTCCTGGAATCTAACGTTCTTCCTTTGTCACTGAACCAGCAGATGTTCATGAGCTGACCCGGGCCTTGGCCAAGCTCTTGGCTCCTGCTAAAGTAAGCCCAAGCACATCCCTCAAGAAAGTGGCCTCTTCAAAGACTGGGCTGGGGAGCCCTCTCCAGAGAGAAAAGGCTCCCTGAGAAAAAGCAGAAAGGTGTGGGGAATATGTAGGGGAAAGAGGGCACAGGAAGGACAGCAGAGAAACAGGAGAGTCAAGGTTCAGAGCCAGAAAGAGTCAGCAGAATTCAGAGCTGGGACATCTGAGGAATGTCTTTCAGAAAAATCATCACCGTCGGCATCATCTTAACAACTGGTCCCATTTGTGCCTCAGAAACAGACGTCAGGGAGAAATGAGAGTCTATGTAGGTTCTTGGGGTCTGAGGCTTAATGCAGCAAATGCTAGTTGCCTTGTGGACCAAGAAGCTAACGCAGCACAGGGAGCTGGCAGGTGGGCAGCCAGCAGGCCCTCAGCTAATTTCCAGACACACAGAGAGAATACGGATGGTGTTTGCTTGGGCAGCAAAATAATGAGGTGCTTTATTGCAAGGGAAGGAGGTGTCGATGACTGAGTCTATTGATTAAAACTAGACACACCCGGCCGGGTTGGCTCAGTGGTTGAGCACTGACCTATGATCCAGGAGATCAAGGTTCGATTTCCTCAGGGCACATGTCCAGTTTCAGTCTTGATCCCCAGTAGGGGGCATGCAGGAGGCAGCTGATCAATGACTCTTTCATCATTGATGTTTCTCTCTCTCTCTCCCTTCCTCTCTTTGAAATCAATAAAGATATATTTAAAAATAAAATTTTTTTTTTAATTTTTAAAGAATGGCTAGGCCCATTTCCTACTCATGATCTTTGTGTTCTAGTTGAAATAAATACCAGTGAAGACTTCCTTCCAGCTAAATATGGTTCATCTCTACTCCTTCCCAAAACCCTATTAAAACAGCAGGATCCTAAAATAACAGAATGACAAGCTCTAGTAGAGAGAACGTCTCTAAAAAAAATAAAATAGAATCAACAGGTTATCTGACATCCTGAGAAGGACTGTTCAATTCTATCTATCTTACAAAAATCAGTGGTAATAACACTCACTATGCAAAAGAAAAAGGCTATTACTACTGCCTTTATTATTTTTAAAAAAAGTTTTCCGATTAAAAAGACTATAATTATAATACATAACTTAGGCCAGTTGTAGAAATAATATTACGAGAATAAAGACACGGGAAGGATGTATGTATATGAGGAGAAAGTCTATGAAAGTTCAACTTTATTCTTCTGTGAGAAGTCAACAGATAATATCTAAAGCTATTCCAAAAATAATGACATAAACATATTGTTTAGATAAGTGGAGATAAGTAGTAGATGAAACAGCTTTTAGCTCAATCAGAGCCTGCATGTTAACTCTTTGAGAATAAGTGAGTGGCTCTAGAGAGCAAGACTTGGTGTGGACAGGCAGAGCAGGGGACTCTTGCTTACCAATATAGGCCTTGCAGTAGTATTTGACTTTTAAGATCCTGTTTAAAGAACACTTTGATCAAAACAAAAATTTTTTTTAAACAACAGAAAAGATTTATTTCAAACCTAGCTCAAATTACTCTTCCCCCACAAAGTCTTCTCAGATCTCTTTCCTCTTCTCTCGTGAAAATTACTGTCTGTGTCATGCATCTGGCAATTAATCATATTATACTTGGCAAAGAGCTGAACTCTTCTTTTGCTAATGGTCTTTCCACCTGTGTCTTGTCTCCCTGACTAAGTTATAGCTGCTTCACAGCAGAGTGCACTCGTCGCAATCTTTGAGGTGTCCACAGCAGGCCAAGTTATTAAATCCACAAGCTTGGAGGAGGTGTGGCACCCCAGCTCCCCATTACCTGCATAAGCATTGGCCTGCTGCAGAAGGTCGGTGCAGGTGTGCACATCTGCAAACGCACGGATGCCCAGGCAATTGGTGGGATGCAACTGAGACTGAAGGAAGTCACAGCAGTTCTGCCGAACGTCCATGAGCTGCAGCAAGCTGGCTGCTGGGAGCAGCACCTGGAGGAGAAGGTGACATTCTGAGATACTGGATCCCTCCAGCAGGACCTCATCTCCCTAAAGCACTGTTCTAAAGCACTGTTCTAAAGCACTCCCATGCCTGAGGTCCTTGCATGGCTCTCCAATGCCTGCTCAAGTCAATTCAAACCTCCTGGTCTTGCTGTCAGGACAGCCCAAGCCTTGTTTCCCACCACTCTCCACCTCATGGGCTCAAAGCACCAGCCTCTTCTCAGCATCCCCATAGCTCACAGCAGAGCTTCTGTATGAATTTCCTGGGGATCTTACTCAAGTGCAGATTCTGATTCAACAGGCCTAGGGTGGGACCTGAGAGCCTTCCTTTTAACCAACACCCAGGTGAGGTTGCAGCTGCTGGTTCATGAACTGCACTGTGAGTATAAGGACCCTTAAGAATGGGATGTTTGTGCCCCATCCCCAAAATGTATATGTTGAAGTCCCAGCCCCCAATGAGACGATATTTAGAGACAGGGCCTGTGAAGAAGTAACAATGGTTAAATGAGGTCATAAGAGTGGGGCCCTAAGGTGCCCTAATGAGAAGAGGAAGAGATATCAGTGTTCTGTCTCTACAACATGAGGACACAGGGAGAAAGAGACCTTCTGCAAGCCAGGGAGAGGGTCTCACCAGAAATTGAATCAGCTGGAACCTGGATCTTGGATTTTTTTTTTTTTTAACATATCTTTACTGATTTCAGAGAGAGGAAAGGAGGGGGAGAGAGAGAGATAGAAACATCAATGATGAGAGAGTCATTGATCGAGCCCGCAACCCAGGCATGTGCCCTGACCGGGAATCGAACCCTGATCGCCTGGATCCTAGGTCGATGCTCAACCGCTGAGCCACACCCAGCCGGGCGGGATCTTGGATTCTTAACTTCCAGACTGTGACACCATAAATTTCTGTTGTTTAAGCCACCCGATCTGTGATATTCTGTTATGGCATCCCAAGCAGACTAGGATAGATTGAGTCTTCTATTTGGCTGCACATTAAAACCACCTAGAGAATTTTTTAAATATTGATGCCTTGGTCTCACCCCCAAAGATTCTAACTTAAGAGGAGTGAGGTGTGGCCTGGACAGTGAGATGTTTCTAAAGCTCCCAGGTACTTCTAATGTACAGGCAAGTTTGAGACTCACTGCCCTATGACTTTTTAGCACACTGTCTTACAAAGAGAGGTACTTATCAAATTGTTCACTAGCCGGTTCACCACTTAATTACTGAATGTCCGTGTGCCAGGCACTGGCCAAGGCTCTAAGATTCAGTGCTAAGCATAAGCCAGACCCCTGTTCTAATGGAGCTTATAATCTACTGGAACAAGAGTCACACCCAAATCCCTCGGGACTCAGAAAAACACACTTTATTCTCCCATCCAACAGATAAAGAGAACATCCTTAGGTACATTCTCAGAGACAGGAGAGCTGAGTTTCCTTTTAAAAGGTAACAGGACACATGAGTATTTATACTATTTCTTGGAAGAGAGAAAAATTTCCAGCTTAGGTGTGTCTGCATGTGTTTTTCCTAAAAGCCAGGGAAGACTGGCTTGAGCAGGCCAGATGGGTGCTCAGACTGCCAACCCCTTTCAACTTCCCTAGGCCTTTCCCACACTGCCGAGGCCTGCCCTCTGGATCCAAAATCCTGGAGAGACGGTCAGAGTCCTGCTTGACCCCAGCTCTGCTTCCCTTACCCCCACCCTGTGGAGGAGGTCAACAGTGTGAGCGTGACCTTCAAAAAAGAAATTTAGTGGGGGGGGGGGAATTAAATAACAGAACAGTTTGATTTGAGGCTGCTTAGTTCAGGACCCACAGCATCCATTTCAGCCCCAAACAACTACCATGCCCTGGGCCTTGTCTCCGCTGCTCCCCCGGCTCTCAGAGAGAGTCTGGGCCAGCCAGATTCCAGCTGTTCCCATCACAAGGGCATGCCCAGGAAGACACGGGCTGCAGATGCATTTATTTTTCTTGACTCGGGGCACTACAAAGTCTTTTTTTTCCCCAAGTGATTTAAATTCTGGAGCCTGACCATCTCCCAAAACAGTTCTGAGTCTCAGCTCTGTCTCTCCGCACCAGCATGAGCTCAGGCCAAACACTCTGCCCCACTTCCATCCTTGGGCCTTGTCCCTCCACTAGGGTACCCAGTCATCCTGGTTTGCTGAGGACCGAGGGGTTTCCCAGGACACAAGACTTTCAATGCTAACACTAGAACAGGGGGAATCCCTGCCCACATGCAGAAACCACCAAGAACCTCCACTACCAGCGGCCTACTCCCAAGCTAAACTCTGGCTCTCAATGAGAAAAGCCTTTCCAACTACAAGCTTATTAAACTTCTCCTTCACGATGGCCAAGTTCTAGAAAACATGCTCCTCTTCTCTTCCTCCATGCGCTCCCTTCCACTCTCCTATGTCCCCAGCAGGAGAACAGTAAATTAGCATTGTGTCCTTGGTATTTGCCGAACCCTGATTCATTCCAGAGAAGGAAAAAAGATAAAAATCACCCACTCTTGAGTTTTAGATCATAAGTGAATACAGCTAGGCTCCAAATCTGACCACTTAAGCTCCATTCTCAGTAGGCAGCCACTCTCCCCACTAAGCAGCCATAAACTGAGAAACTCAATTAAACTGTGAGCTTGCTCGGCCTAGCCAAACAGATTCCAGGACCAGATTAGTCTCTGCCTGCTAGTTAAGGGGAGAACCATTAACCATTCTTGTTGAATACATACCAGGAATGGAAAGCTCTGTTCCAAACTCCCAAGTGACCTCCATGACACCCCCCTACCAGCACCAGCTAGAAGGTCTACAGTTAAGGCCAGAGGCTGTCAGCGCTCACAATGGAAGCCCTATGTCACAGGGTCAGTTACCCACCCTACAGCACAGGAGCTCTAACCGTAACCCCAAGCAGCTCTGATGGGGAGGAGCAATCGGTGTTGTCCCACATGCTCCACTTGGTGGCGTGGCGAGGCCCCAGAGGGTCAGGGTGGTTAGAAGCAGGAATGGGACAGCAGCCCTTTGGCCCCGCAGCCTAGGATTTCTGAGAGTCCTGTTCAGCCCCAGATTGCATTCCCAGCCAAACGGAGGTGAGATCGTGCCGGGGACACGCATCCCCCTCCCCCCTGCTCTCTTTTTCACAAGCACAGCAGCACAATTTGGTGCTTAAATTCTCAAGCTCATGACAACCAGCCCAAAAAATAAAGTAATAAATATTTCCTGAACATACTCCTTAGGTTATGATTTTCAGTTTTTAAAACCTCCTTGGATAGAGCTACCCACATAGCTTTCAACATCCCTACTGTTCACAAAACCCACTTAGTAGGCAAAAATTATAAGGCTTTCCACCTCTCCACTCTCCGCCCCCCATCCTGTTTGGGTCCTCTCCTGAGCTGACTTCCTAAAATAAATGGGGCCGGTGGTTTCTCTAATTGCTCCTTCCCTCTCTTTGATCTTGCACTGCGATTAGCTATGAGTCAAAGGCCCTTTTCTTCCCACTATGTGCTTCGTACAGGAAGGCGTGAAGAAAAGTAAAGGAAGTCAAGATGCTGAGGGGGAGGTTTGGAGGCTGGGAGATATATCACTGCTTAAACTCTGAGTCTCAGGGACAAACTGGGCCCCCGTCCAGTGGGGCTCTGGGGTCTGCACAGGAGAACAAACACAGCTCCCCAGAGGCTGTGAAAGAAAAGAGCACACGTCCATGAGGGGCTGTCTTCACCTCCCTCTCCACATCAACAAGAGTTTTTAGAGGATTTCCGCTCCTCTTATCTCGCCTGCAACTCGACTCCCTCAAGTGGCAGCAGTAACAAGATTGCGAACAAAAGGCCAAGCCTGGGTCCTCAGCTTTGAAGCAAAACTGTCCTGATGGAATCACCAGGGCAGTGCTGGTGGCCCCTGGATGGAGGAGGCAGAGACCAGAGGAAGAGTAGCTGGCTGGAACCACCCTAGGGATGGAAGATGCCCCTAAATCACAAGCTTTTAGCCTGCCCCTCTCCACCTCAGCATTCTGATTCTGGGAAAACAGGCCCTGGAATGACCCTCAGCAAGGAGTTTACAGGCTCCCTCCAGCTTGCAAATGGCCTCCCCTCCATTTTTCACGTGCGGGCCCTGTTTTGTTTTTTCTCACCCACGGATAACATGAAAACACAGCAGAGGATATCCCGTCACAGGGTTTATTTCCTTTAACAAAAACAAAAGGAAATGCCCTGCCTCAAAAAGCACCTACTCCTGGAATTTCAGGGAGGCAGGGCCGTGGGCACCAGCCAGAGGGCCAGGTGACAGGACTGACCAAGGCCACAGCATGGGTCTGACTCTGCCAGCACCAGACATGAGACCTGGCACAGAAACTGTTAAATTAAAAATCTGTTGAGAAAAAGAAGAAAGGGAGAGGGGGGTGGGGGAGAGGGAGGGAGAGGAAGGCAGGGGGAGATGTGTATAGTTAAACAGAAGAGCTAGCAGAATAGGACTGTGATTAAAAGTCTCGCTTGTATTTTGACCTCTCCACTTACCGGCCATGTGACTAAAGGCAAATTACTTAACCTCTCCATGTCTGTCTCAACAGTAAATGAAGAAAATAATGGTACTGCCTTAAAGGCTTGTTATGAGGGTCAAATGAGATAATACACGTAAAGCTGTTAACACGGTGCTTGGTACATCAAGAATGCTCAATTAAATTAGTTTTTATTATTATTAATTATGAACTGAAGTCAAGATTCTGATCATTCGTTTAACAAGAAACTCTAGTTCACCACATCAGCAGAGCACAATGAGTGGGAGAGAGCTGGGTTCAAATCCCAACTCTATCCCTCACCGCCCACGTGACTGTGGGTACTACCCATTTAACCCCTTTGAGCACAATTTCTTCAACTCTAAAAGAAGGATCATAGACGAACGTTCCATTGGTGGTTACGAGAATTAAACGAAGTAATGCGTGTGAAATGATCAGCACATGCTTGGCTTACAGTGAGTATTAATGTGTCACTGTGACGACTGGTACCTCTACCACAGGAGGGCAACTCGGTATCTTCAAGGTACGTGTGGCCATTTAACCAAGCCCCAAATCTCTGGCCCTTCTTTCTAAGACTTTCAGGAGAGCCCCAGGACCTCCATGCTCACCTTCTCAGCGCACCCAGTCTTCCAATACTGGCACCACGGACAGCTATGAGCAGCTGCCTCGGAAGATACATAACAGCGTGAAGAAGCCACCTTTTGATCCAGACTTTCTCTTTTCAATCTTTTTTGTTTTGTTTTCCCCCCAAGGTGACCCCTGACCAAACCACAATTCAAAATGAGGAGGAAAAGGGGAAACAGTATACCTCACTCCTTCCGAACAATGCGCGGGTCCCTGAAGGTTCCACATCGCGCTCCTCGGGAGCCCTTGCACGCGCTGGCCGCTCCTGCCCAGGCCGCCAAGGGGCACCANCGCGCTGGCCACTCCCGCCCAGGCCGCCAAGGGGCACCATCCAGTGGGACACGGGCAGGCGGGCAGAAGAGGCGGGCCTGACCTGCCCGTCGGTCTTCCTCAAGATCTGGCCCAAACAATACTTCTTCAGTGAAGCCTTCTCTGACCATCGTCATCAAGGTGGCGATGGCCATTCCCTGCTTACTGGGAACCTCAGCCTGGCCCCTGCCCTACTGCAGGGCACCCATGCTTCACCATCTGTCTCCAACTTCACATCACGTGCTCCTTGGTGAAAGGCTTCTGTGCTCACAGTGCTCTCCGTGCCCACAGTGTCTGCTGGCACACAGGGTAGCACTCTTCTAAGTGCCTTACCGAAATTAATTCATTTAATCCTCACACCAACTCTATGTGGTTAAGTACTACTATCATGCACATATTACAGATGAAAACACTGAGGCACAGAGAGATTAAGTAACTTTTGTAGGGTCACACAGCTAGAAAATGGCAGAGCCGGGATTTGAAGGCAGACAGTCTAACGCGTGACCACCCAATAATATGAGTACAATTTTGATTCCCGTTTTACAGATGAGAAAACTGATCCTTAAGGCAAGACGTCAGTGTGGATGTCAGAGAAGCTCTAGTAGGAGGGAAAGGAAACAAATCAGAGGCTGGCTGAGTGTCTTCTCTAGCCAGAGTTCACGGAGTCTCCTAACACCCCGCAGCGGGAAAGGGGCAGAAGGAGAGCACTGCGAGAGTTCACGGCAAAGCTGAGGCTCAGAGCCGGTTCCCCACTCACAGGCAATTCCTGCCTCATCTCGGTTTCTGCACGTCCTCTGAACCTGCACATCTTCACTCTGGCCCCCCGCTCCCACCCCTACAAAGTAGTTTTTTAAAAAACAATAGTGAAGCCATTTTCTCCAGAGTCCTCGAATTAATCTATCTGCTGCTACCTCCCTTAAGATAACTGGTGTTATAGAGACCACCACTGGGCCAGACCAAAGTTGCAAAGATAAATACCTAGCCAGGCAAAAAGAACGCAGAGCGAAGCATCTTTTAATTCTCTAGTTTGTAAATCTTTTGTACTTTACCAAAAAAAAAAAAGATGTTAAATAAGTCCATGATGAAAAGGGAGGAAAAATGCTGGTTTCAATCATAACAATTCTACAACCTCCCCTACAAGTACTGTTTTTGGGGTTTTGTTTTTGTTTTGTTTTAGTGGCTTAAAACAACACAAATTTATTTTCTTACAGTTCTAGAAGTAAGACATCCCAAATGAGCCTCACTAGGCTAAAATCAAGGTGTCAGCGGGGCTGAGTTCCTTCTGAAAGCTCTGAGGGAGAATGTTTCCTTGCTTTTCAAGCTTCTAGAGGCCACCACATTCCTTGGTTCGTGGCCCCCCTTTGTTCAAAGCCACAAACATCTCGTAAGTTCTTCCCAGGTCACATCTCTCTGGTTCTTCTTATTCTGCCTCCCTCTTCCACTTTAAAGAGCACTTGCTATGACATTGGGCCCACCTAGATAATTCAAGGTAATCTCCCCATCAAATGTTCGACCGACCAGCAACATGAATTCTATCTGCAGTATTAAGCTCTCTGACATTTAACCTAATGGATTCCGGAGATTAGGATGTGGACATCTTTGGGGGCCTACCGTGCCATATGATTAATTAGTTACTGATACACCCTAAGGTAAGGGCTTTAAAAATTATTTACCCCCTACACATTTTTAGGTTCACATCTAGCTAGCATTCCTCATTAGAGTTGCAAAGAATGGAATTCCATACGTTTTGTAAATCTCACTATTTACATCAAGTACCTAAATGAATTAAAATGTGGTGGTAATTTGATATAACTATCATCCATTTTTTTAAAAAAGTTTTCCATACATGCCCTATACTCATTTTATACTGAATTATTTGCACTTACTGTTCCTACCCAAAGTCATTCAGCTGTTTAAACTCTGCTGCTAGACCTAGGATGTAACCATTGCATTGTCCACTCCACTCTGAATGGGAAAGACCAGAAACAAAATAGAAAAGCCGTGCATTTTACTGTGTATAAAATACACCTCATTTAAAAAGGGGGGGG